AACGGAATAAGTAAGGTTAAAATCCTTTACAGAAATGTACTGAATAATGAGTGCCCTTCAGTGCTTTGGAATAAACCTTATCGTTAGTCTTCCCGCAACGTTAACAACAGTTGACTCCTCGCCTTACACACGCTACTGGTTGCTTGATCTGTGGTTAAGTCGATATAAAGATTTGGTTACTAAGTCTTGGACAATCGCTAGGTAGATATCTCCCAAAAATGATAACAAACACAAAATCTGAGTGTGTATTAATGGAGCTACTTCTTGATTTCATAGGATTGTTTGCAAAACACCACACTCAATTTACACACTCCTACAATCTCCTATCATGAGAAAAAGCTTAAAAAGGCAAAAGTAACGTTACATGCAAAAACGTCGGCGACTCCGAAGTGTTTCTGGATAGGAGACACATACAATTTGTAAGATGACAGGTCTCCGACAGACACCAAACCATAATCCAGTGTTTGAATAGAAGAGAGCATAAGATAGAAATTTCAGCATAACCACAAATAAGCTACTTCATAGATGTATGATAGTCTACGTGTTATTGTACGAGCATCCAACTCCACGTCGCTCGTGTGGTCAAGGCCTCCAGTTTGAAGAGTACGATAAGTATCTTCTTTTCACGGAAATATTATAAAGTGCTTACTTCCTACAGCTTCTGAAACATTATGCTATTGCCGCTCAGATGTTGTAAGAGATTAAGTAACCATGGAGGAACTATTTTCTGCTCATGGTTTGTAAGACTTCCTTTGCCTACTGGGTGATAAATGCCCGTTGCCGACATTCACGTCATAGAACAGAAGACGGCCAAAAAAGAAATTCTACAACCACTGTATATGAATAGATGGAGAAGTATAAACAGATAGATGGGTAACACTGAGATGACTAGAAGGGAGTCATATGTAGTTGAAGCTGATTCCAACTTGTTGCAGAAAAAATAGAATAATTGAGTCTTACAACATCCGTTGCTACTTATATGTCAGCTTTTCGACTTGCTTCCACCTTTTCATCAATATCAGTTTCGATGGACTACAACTCAACTTGAGATAGTTTCTGATACTTCACCAAATTAACTCCCAATTCTCTAGAAATCGTACTTACTTTATCAGGGTTTTCAACGGGATCATTTTGATGTAGGCAATCAAAGAAGTTCATCAAATCAGTTGAACCTAGGCCGTTTCACCATAGGCGATCAATTTGTTTTCCTAAGTGGATTGAAACGTATGGTGGGCAACTGAGTTTTCAAAGAACAAGAGAGCAGCTGTGCATTGTAGTGTGATGGTACACCTCTGTACACTCTTCAAAACATCGTTAATAAACACACCTTGATGCGGACGTAAGTGTAATGTCCTCCCTTCACCAGCTGGGGCCTTTTTAAGAACAGCCTGACCAACAGATTGGGTAGGCCAGGATGCGGGCTTGAAATCGTTCAAGCAGCCTAACTAACAGGTTTCCTAGACGAACTGTCCCTTGAAAAACACCTTATCCTCCGAGGGAATTCTAGTATAAGGCGACAATCAACCTTGTGAGACTGCAAAACAAATAGCACAACGACAAACTGTATAAGCCAAGTCATCACACACTTGCAACCAACTTGAGTCGTCCAAACAATCGGGGATTTTTCACCAAAGACCACAGTAGTCGAATTCGAAGTGCGCCCCTCGTTTCATTTGAATTTAGTCTCTGCTTCCCGGAATTGCATATGACCGCATGTAAACTTGAACAAGTGGAAATTTAGCGTCCATATACTACATTTACCACATTTGTCCCTATTAATTCGAGTAGATTAAATGGCTTTCTCAAATAAACCTACTTTCCTTCATATGCTCACCTATGCTATCCTCATGGATTGTGCCACCTCTCTGTTTGTGCTCACTGACCTGGGGATCCCGAGAGACTCTTAGTGTTCCCAATATTTTTAACTGTCTTCTGCAGTCTTGGTTTCTAGGAGCTTTGACGCGTGGATGAAGCAAGCATTTGAAGGGCTCCAAGAATCTCTGACAACTCAGGAAGGATACAAAAACGTGGGGACCTTGGAAAACTTCGAAAAGAACGGTTGTTTTTCAACCTGAAAAGGTAAAAAGTGGTCCTACTACGCGCACTCATAGGCAAAATGGAGACTAATAGATTATCCTGCTCAATATACATGGAAAATTCATACTAGAGCTGTATTTACAGATCAAAGTCTACATGCGATTCTACCCTGAGAATAGCTACACCACACCACTGGTAGTTAGAGAAGACACTGACCTGTTGGAAGAAATGTAAGACAGAGTAAATACTAGCAATTAAATGAAGTTACATACAAAACGCTGCAGAAACTAGATATAATCATGTCAGGCTACCACTGTCTCAGGAGTGCCACAAATAATGGGCCTCATGGACTTCACCCTAAACTGTTAATTTCCTTGGAGGATATAATATATATTCCACTTACAGAAATTTTTCAAATGTCTCTGACCCAGGCTAAGATACCCAGGAAGGATGCCATTATAAGCCATATCTTCAAAGAGGGGGATAGGCAATTGGTATCTAACCACCGTCCGGTAAGTCTGACATGCATTATAACAAAGGTAATGGAAACTATTATAAGGGATTAGCTATTAGCTTAACATATGACTTACTGGCAGTTGAACAGCATGGATTCCGACCACGACGATCCTGCCTGACAAACCTACTATTGGCTAGGGGAGACTGGGTTGAGGTAAGAAATAAAAACCTTCTGTTGGACGTGGTTTTTATCGATCTTAGCTAAGCATTCGATAAAGTATCCCACTTAGGTCTCCCTAGTAAACTTAAAGGTTGCGGACTAGAGCAATGCCTATAAAAGTGGTTTAGAGATTACCCAATGGATAGAAGGCAGAAGGTTAGAGTTAACGGCGTACTACCAGAGTGGAAAGCAGTATCTAGTGGAGTGCCTCAGGGAACTGTATTAGGCCCATTGCTGTTCCTATTATACGTTAATGAACTACCGGGGATTCTTACTTCATCTTCATTATTATATGCGGACGACATTAAGATCTGGAAAACTGTATATAATAACAAGGATAGGTCGGCCCTACAAAGTGATCTAGATAAATCAGCTGAGTGGTCTAACCTGTGGAGTTTGGAAATTAATTCTAGGAAAAGCGCAGTAATGCACTTAGGTCAGAAGTCTTATACGTCGTACTTCCTAGGGGACACAGAACTACCTGATGTTAACGAACAGAAGGACCTAGGAATCATTGTCAGCAATGATTTGAAAACAACTGCAAATTGCAATGCAGCCGCAGCTAAGGCTTTCCAAATGCTATTGGCACTTCGAAGGGCTTTCAAACGATTAGACGAGGGCATGTTCCAAATACTCTACGCAACATATGTCAGGCCTCATCTAGAATACTGCATACAAGCGGCGGGTCCATGCTTCAAAAAGGAGGCATATATCCTGGAAAGAGTACAGAGAGTAGGAATGAAATTATTTAGTGGTATCTCACACCTTCCTTATGATAAGAGGATGGAGCATTTAAATCTCTTCCCTTTATCATACCGAAGGAAGAGAGGCGACTTAATTTTAGCACACCGTATACTTAATGGTGATTTAGGAACTGACCTTTCTAAACTATTCTCTCCTTCTAGGATACATTTATGGGGTCACCGCAAAAAGGTGCTCAAACCGAGGACGATTAAAATACGTGTAGAATTTAGATTCTCTCACAGAGTGGTCAACGACTGGAACTCCTTACCTGATTCAGTAGTATCAGCTCCATTGGTGAACGCTTTCGAAGAGAAGTTAGATCTCTGCAGAGATATATTTTGCAAGGATTAACACAGGCCACACGAGCCTTCTATCCTTATCATCTGAATCTGAGTATAATGACTAAACAACGCACTTCTGCGAAGAACCGCATCATAAATAAAATGTCTATGATTTCGATTTACATTGAAAATCCCCATGAAACTTAAATAACTTCTAGGACTCTTTAAGGTCCATTGCAGCGATATTTAGGTGTTGAACATTGTACGTCAATAATGCAAACAATTGCGTTACTACAATCTGCTTGTGGGATGTTGACTATACAGTTATATGTATAAGTGAGTGATTTCTCTATTAAATTGAGGCAAATTCATGTGCATTTTGAACTGTAGCAGTTGGAATTCATAAAAAACTACATAGTCCGCATGAACATATGCGACAGTGTATATATATATATTAAAGTACATATATGTACTTTAATATATATATATATATATATAATTAAAGTATATATACTTTAATTATAGTATGTACACGTTATAACTTGAATTTTGTCGCCGTTCCGTAAAATGTAGCATACTTTGTAAAACGTCTTAAATAACCACTAGTGCTTCAACTTTGTTTTCATCGGTTTCGGTGTGAGTAATTACTTCCCAGTCGGTTAATGCACCTGGGCAAAGTGGCCAGAACGTGGGATAAATGGGTAATTTTGATCAGCCATCAGGTGGGCAAAAGATGGTGTAAATGCAGTCGATTTTGCCCCTGTTTCCCACTTTTTCCCCGTTTGCCCACTCTTTCAACGAACAGTTTAGAAAATAGCCCACTTTTTCCCACTTTACCCATGTTACAAACAAAAACAGCCCACCTTTTCCCACTTTGCCCACATTTGAACATGAAACTACCCAGGTAATTGCCTTTACTAATAATTAGGAAAGAACTGTATAATGATTCTTTCCCCAAATAAGAATTTTTCGGGCAATTTTGAGGGTTTAAGAGGGAAATGATAATTACCTTTGAAGATTTCACACTGAGTTTCCCCAAAATATTTTGTTTGGGTTGGTTTAGCCAGGTCAACATTAAGTGGCAAATAGAATCTACAACATGCCAGATCTTTTGCAATTAATTTACCCCGTTTTAAAACAAAATTGTATGATCTAAGGTTGTCAAAAACTAGGAGTATTTTGCCCATGGTTATATTGAAGAATGTCTTTTCCACTTGTACATTCAAGATTATTGTTATCTCTTTAAGGACAAATTATTCTAAATGAAACGTTCAAAGCCAGAAAGGGAACTAACTGAGGAGGAACGTAATGTTGTGATATCAGTGCGTCATTGTGCCCGCGAACTAGATGATATTTTACAAGGAGCACGCAGAAAAGCCCAATCAAATGCGAAATTATTTTCGGAAACAGGAATCAGTGTTATGTTTCGAGGTGTTGATTCGTATGCAGACATGTATGAAAAGTTGGCTGTTAAGTCAAGAGATGCCTTAGACAGGCTATTTTCAAAATTCTCTGAGTGTGAAGAAGTTCAGGATACTCAGGATGCAATCGAAGAAACTGAAGGAAACTGGAGAAATTTTCTGTCTAATCTTGATAAGGAAGTTATGCATGAAGAAAATGAAAATGGTAAGATGGAATCATCGTCAAAATCTGATGTAAAGTGCAATTACTTATTCCTACCATCCATACCATTTGTTGATTGGCAAACTAATCGTGAAGTTAACTTGCAACACTATGTTCAACAATATATGTGCCTCGTAGTGATTTGTCAACCTGCTTACTGGCCAGATACTTCTGTAAGATGGCGTTATTCTGAAGTTTTGAAGGCTCAGGTATGTCTAATATCATATAAAAAATTATGAAAGTACTTGTGTAGTAATTTATTTGAAAACGGTTTTATTATCAAGTTTTTCATTTACCGGCAATAGCTAGGTAGACTATAAAATTCACTGTTTCAAATCATATTTATGGATAATGGAGTTGTCGAAGTCTTTTTTGTGTGGTGAATTAACGATGTTTGTCCGAGTGTGATGTATTAAAAAAGAAAATATTGTGCTTACGTCACAAATGTTTGAGTACCAAGAAATCATATCACACTTATCAAGGCATTATACTCGAATTCACACAACCGTATTCAAGCCCATGGAGAGTTGTCATCTGAAGTGATGACAACTAGTGGTGTCCGTCAGGGGTTCGCAATGCCTCCATTTTTGTTAAATTTTGCTATAGATGTCCTAATGAATGTGAATTTAATCGATTTTAACGACTAAAGGACTGCCTTGTCACCAGGGTACAATTTCATATACTTAGAGTATGTCGATGACGTGGTTCCAGGTAAACATGATGTCAATGCAGAGTCTTCTGAAAACATTGTGCAAACATCTTGGTGTGTTTGGCATGCAGTTCACCCATGTCAGATGTAAAATGATGGTGACTGCCTGGTCTGCACCGACTCCTCGTTTGAAGACAATGTTGACCACTTCACTTTGGTTGTTGCACCACCCCTATTAGTTTGATTGTTGGTGAAACCTCAGCATGGATACAAAAAGCTCGTTTGCTGCTCGCCAACTTATGTCTTCTCCGATGCAGGTGAGATATCCAACTGTCTATCAAAGGACTTGGACCGCTCTGCAGTTCTATCTGTCCTGCTTTATGACTCAGGGACACGGCCATTAAAAGGAGACATGAAGAGGATAGCCGTCTTTGGTCACAGGTGTTTGCCGTCCATTTCTCTTTTTGAGTTACTTAATATTGTACGTTATATCGAGGTCATAGTGTTGGGTACAGAAAAAAGTCAATCGAAAAGCTAAATCCATTGAGATAGTTAGGACACGTGTCGCGCATGCCAAGCCACAGCCTTCTTCGTCAAGTAATGTTAGTTGACTCAGGATTAGTTTGGAAAAGAGTTAAGGGTGACCAAATCGAAACATAGTATCAGTCGGCGAAGTCTTTGACTGTTGTTTTGATCCAAATAGGGAAGTGCAGACTACTTGGTTGGGTTCCTGGGGATGCTAAGAGCCAGCGGATGGAGACTGCTGGTAATATGGCTCAAATTAGCTCTCATTTCTCCACTCTTCATCAACTCTGGCATCCATAGAATTCTCGGCATTCTTTTTCCCGTATATTTTTATTCATTATAGTTTCTTTGAATTGTTTTATCTACTTTTGTGTGGCGATTCGAACTGCTGCACTTTTATGTAAATCTCCGTCTTGGAAATCAGTCATACATGTTTAAGGTTCACAAAACAAAACTATATTCATCCCGTATAAATCCTAATGTATACCTTTTTGATTTTAACTTTATTTCAGTGTGATCTTTCTCAGTTCAAAGTTGGTTATGTAGTTGTTACCTGGGGTCCTCCAGATGCAGTACGCAGTTGGTCTAAACAAGTTGCACGAGTTACGAAATGGCCAGTTTTATGGGATAAATCTGGTGATTTTAGAGCTAAAATTGGTTTTAAATCAGGATTACACCGTGTTAGTTTCTTTTCTTTTTTTGTATTAATAATTACTAGGTTTTTACAACTCATTAGTAGAATTTTGATAATGCTTTAACATCCCCTTTAATAATTTGTCTATTTTTTTTTCAAATCTCACCTTACAAATCTGCAGATTATTCCGGAATTTATCCAAGCTAAGCACGTTGTGATCATGCCTATATGAAATATCTTTATAGTCTATGAGCATGGGATTTTTGGGTTTCATTTTTGTAACTGTCATTAATTACCTTAAATGATGTATATACTATGACCACATGTACTTGCTTGTGTCATGAAAAATAACTGTGAGGTACTTAGGTAACTTGGAATAATATCACTGGAATGACTAGACCTCTTTAGAAGCCGAAAAATGATAGTGTAGTCTGATTCACTCTAGTGTCTGTAATTATGGTATGTGCTTTGCGCCGTCTAAGTGCAAAGTACTGTTACAAGATTGGCAGAAGCCTGTACCTGCACTCACTCTTGCAGGTGAACCGCTTGAAGTTGTTGATAAGTTTGTGTATCTAGGTAGTTGTGTGAGTGCTGGTGGAGGGGTGACGGATGGGATTCCCAACCGTATAATGAAGGCTAGGGTGGCATACATCAACTTAAGCCACCTCTGGCACCGTCGCGACGTTAACCTGGCTGTCAAAGGTCGGGTATACAATGCTTCGGTGTGGGCTGTCTTGCTCTACGCTTGTGAAACCTGGCCTCTCCGAGCTGAGGATGTGCGGCGACTCTGCGTGTTCGATCATCGCTGTCTCCGCAGGATTGCTTGCGTTCCATCGCATCATCGTGTTAGTGAGTAATTCTGAGTTTCGGTGGCGTGTGTTTGAACACAGTGGAGATCACCATTCATTGAGTGTCGTCACCTGGAAACACCGGCTCCGGTGGCTTGGACATGTGCTGAGAATGTCATCCCAGAGGCTTCCGTACAGGTCTCTGTTCACTAGCCCTCGGACGGGTTGGAAAAGGTGGAGGGGTGGTCAGTCCATGACGTGGCGTTGTGGGATGAAGGAATTTTGTGCTAGATTAGCATCGGTTGGTGTGTCACGACCCCCTGGTTGGGGTCTGCGAGATAGCTCGAAACGTTATCGGATATGGCCAAGAATCGTAATCAATGGCGAACGTGTTGCAAATTCCTTCTTTCTCCCCTTCCTGATGATAGTAAACGAATACTGTTTGAACTTGTTAAACATCACTGTTTTCCTTCCAGATGAAGTTCTGTATCCATTTTCAACTTATATTTTTACATTAAATCTATGTTGTTTTACTATTATTGTGTGGCGAATCTTTCTTGGTGCCATATTGTACCAAGTTTTTTTCTGCGTTTAAATAAATTCACTCCAGTTAATATCTGCCTTTAATTTAGTTGGTCAATCTTTAAAAGGTGAAGGATTTCGACAATTATTCGAGATACCCTATATGCAAATGCAAGTGCTTCTTCTCCAACCCCTAAAGTACATGTCCTACTGATCCCAGAGATAAATCAAAACAAGAAATTGATGGCCTAGAGCACGCGATACATATTTTGGAATCAGTAATTTAAACCGATGGTATCATCTTGGGTAGTTAGCTTGAGTGCGTGCTTAAAACAACCAAGCGTAAAATGACATGTCAAATGACCTGAAGTCATTACGACGCACTTTCCAGCCTAACCAGTCGACTTAAAACAATGAAGGTTTGTAGCCAGTGTTGGATGATAAAGGTTATGGACTGATAATTTCGGGGATTTATTTACCGCTGCAAGTCAATTAGTCATCATTTTGAACTGCACTTTGGTCATTGGGGTTTGTAAGCTATATCCCCCTCCCACCAATAATAATCTTAATACAAAAAACTATTCATTTTTTGTGTGTGCAAAGGGGGGGGGTTGACATTTACTTTTAGACCTGACCATCAGAAGAATACATATTAACAGTTTCCATATCCCATCAAGATATACTGACAGTAATATGTGTTACTCTTGATAACTACAACTTACTTTTGCTTTTTACCCACACAATACGCTTTCATCATATGGTATTCTGTCATGACACTGTAAAACTTTCTTTTCTTCTAGGCTGTTTCATTTTGTGATAATAATGTCCCATGTTTTTACGAAATACCCAGCTACCTGTTTCCGTCTATGTGTGTCTGGGCAGAATCCCAACCCTTGTACAAACTATGAGTTTTTGTATGGCGCATCTCATGGTTCCTGTAATGTACCAAGTTTGTGTTTTCGATAGCAATTATTGTTATTGTTATGGCCTGTTTGGGGATTGTCTAATATCGAAACGCTGCTGGTTCTTACTACATTGATTGGTGCTGCCAAATACGAAAAACGAATTTCCTAGAGCAACGGCCAATATAACTCGCTCTAAATAAGCAGTTGAATTGATGAATACAAGAAGAGGTGGCTAGTCTAGGTGTAACAACAGAAGACAAGGGCCAGGCAACAGATCGTTTATTTAGGAAAATCAACACATATTTATAGATTTTAATGTACATTATTGTAGATTATTGTTAGTAGAAAATACAGCCTTTTGATTGGTTGTTTCTCACAGAAAGTTAACCTTGCATCTCTTTGTGGCTGTATCAGATCATCCATATGCTAACTGTATCCGCCTACGCAAAGCCTTTGTACTCATTTTCTCACCACCAATATTGGGGACATAAACATTGACGTCAATTACTGTCTACCAGCTTTGGCTAGCAGCCAGCTCTCACCACATAGGTACTTCGTTTTTCACTTTTTGGGCTTAATCCTTATTAGTAATCCCCGGTTTGAATGAGACCTGTTTATGTATGTTTCATTTTACACAGATCTGTAGTGTATCCAGAGTTCCCCAAAAAACAAACAGAAATTCGTGTATACTTATTCAAATTGACATTAAATAATTACATAAATTATTTAATCGATTTATCCATATATATTTAGGTATGGGCAGCTGAAAACTTGGATTTTCTTGGCTGTCAACGTTCAATGCATCATCGACCAATTCACCCTCCTCCAACTGACATCAATTGGTTAGAATGGAAACAGATTGGCGGTGAATTAATTCTAGCTCAGCCTGTATTATGGGATCCTAAAAAAACAATGAGACCAGAAATGTATACAACAAGTACATCTGAATCAGGCATGAAACGTAAACGCAACACTAACGATAGTGACAGTAATGATGATAGTGATGATGAAGGAGAAGCAAGATCTAAGTCGAATAGAGAAGAATCTCATATAACCCCATTGAAAGCTTCAATACAAGAAGCACTTCGTGATAAAGAAGCAATGAGTTTAAATCAAACTAAAGTGTGTACACTGCATTTAAGCACTCGGATCTCGGATATCCTACCTTCTGGTTCAATCTATCAAGCTGCTTTAACATGTTATGCTCGTGCACATAACACTACTGAAAGTGAAGTGATGGATAAAATTCGAAGAGATCGTAGATTTTCCACACCACCTGAGTCAGCTAGATTACAATATGAAGCTACAACAGGCTTATACTATGATCCAGAAACTTCACTATACTACGACTCACTTAGAGGATACTTTTATGATTCACCAAGTCAAATGTATTATTACTGGTCTCAATCTGAAGGTCGTTATATTCCAGCGAATACTTTGATTCAAGCGGAAATAGCTGCTGCACAAGTAGCTCAAGCAGCAGCAGCTCAGGCAGCTGCTGAAAAAGCTCACGCTGAACGAGAAGCGGCTAGAAAAGCTGCAGCGTGTGTAGCAGCTCAACTAGCTGAAATACGTGCTGGTAAAGATGATTATGCCGCGTATGCCTATGCAACATGTGTACTGCCACAACAAGAATCGTTAAATTTAGATTATACAAATAGTAATTCAAACACTACAGAAGAAAATAATCAACTAAATTTTGTTTATCAGAATACAACAGCTGCAGCAAGTCAAATTGAAGCATCATTGAAAGCATGGAATGCAGAAAATGCTAGTAGAAATAATACTGGCAATGCTGAAATCCTGTCTTCTCAACCTCTTGTCCCTTATACAGATGACAACACGGATATTGATAATCGTGATTCTACACCTCCTCCTCCAGGCTTGTAAAAATGATAACATTGTGTAAATAACTATTACTGTACTAGTAGTATTATTACTAATGGAATTTAACAATTTTAGTGTTAATATGTATGTCTATACTGTTTGCATATTTGTATAGTGTTTATATTATTATGTATTTGTATAGTTATTTTTTAAGATTTAATAATAAAAAACACCTTGAGTACTTTTGGTTCCTGTACGTGAAATGTACTGTTCATATTAGACTTCTTTCTCTGTGGTGTATTCAAGAATTAATGCCTTTCTGATCCAATAATGTATTACTAGATCACCCAAGTATTTATTCAGCTAGCTAGCTAGCTAGCCAGCCGGAATTCAGTTGGTTTGAGTTGATTCGACTCTGAGTTGAATCAGACCAGGTGTTTATATCACTTCAATCAGGCTGACTGGCAAGTAAACCATACTGTTGCTTGATGCGAGTAGTATCTAACATCTATTTATATCAATTAGTCAGTAGTATTGTAACGACAAAAGGCAAGAGTCAGGCAACAGATCATTTATTAAGGAAATCAACGCATATTTATATATGTTTTCATGTACATCACTATGGATATGTAAACAAACAAACACAGTCTTCCGATTGGTTGTTTCTCACGACAAATCTTGGGAACGTAAATATTGACGTAAATTACTGTCTACCAATTTGGCTAGTAGACAGCTCTCACCACAGTATGTGACATCATGCACTAATTTGTGTGATTTAATCATTCATCTTAAATGGATGTAGAATGTTTAATTGTTTCCGATGTGGTTATGTTCTCTGAGTTGGATGGCGGGTTTAATTGCATAACGTTTATTGTCTTCCTATACACCAACATCTTCACTGCAGACTTATTTGAATTCTCCGTGAGTGGTGTAATTATCCCTTTGACAACTTTGTTTGTAATGGGTTCTTAATTTGTTTCAGTATTGATCATTTGATTGACTTGTACTGTGACTTATTCCTTATTCGTTGGTAAATTTTGATTTATAATGTGTCTGCTGATCATAGTTTCATCTGAGTACCAGGTTCCTAGGAGATCTATGATGTTTCCTCTCAGCACGGATACAGAGGGCTGGTTTCGCATATGCCAGTTTACTCCGTCTCTGGCGTAGACGTTATATCCGGCTATCAGCCAAAGGGCGGGTGTACTGCTCATCAGTCCGCTCCGTCCTCCTTTATGGCTGTGAGACCTGGCCATTGAGAGTGGAAGACTTGAAAAGACCAGTTGTCTTTGACCATAGGTACCTGCGTTCTATCTCCCGTGTGAAGTGGTATAATAGGGTGAGCAATATTGAGGTTAGGCATCGGTCGAGTGTTAAAATAAGGAAGGAAAATCAATAGACGAGTCTGTGAAGCTACATCGACTGAGATGGTTAGGACATGTGTTACGTATGCCTAGTCATCGCCTTCCTCGACGGGCAATGTTAGCTGACATAGGGTCATACCAAAACATGGCTTCACCAGTCAATCAAATCCACAACAGTAAGTTTAAGCCACGTAGGAAGGTGTAGACTTCCTGGTTGGGGTCCTCGGGACGGTAAAAACCAATGGCTGTAGACAATCGTTCTCAATGGCTGGCGCAGATGCATCCACTCCTTGTGACTTATAATTTCCAATGAAACTGTATTGTTCTTCGATATTATTATTCCTTTTGTCTCATATCCCTGTCTATTGTCTCTATTTCGCATTTCTTTTTACTTTCTTCTCTTGCTTTGTGTGCTACAAGGAGGGAGTGTGGCGACTTGAACTGCTGCACATCGGTGCAAAGTTCTATGTCGAAAACAGATAGATAGACAGACTATGATGTTCTCACTGTTTAAAACTTCTACATTTTCCTAGTCAAATTGGTTTCTATAGTTTTGTCTACATGTATCGACATGAAAGGATATACATGTCGTGTTCTTTGACAGCTAGTTTATGTTCTTGAACTCGAAGTTGAAGGGGACGTACACTTTGACCAGTCTAAATAGTACTTGTCGCTATTCATACAATTCATTTTGTAGATGGTGTTCATGTTGTCGTCTTTTTCTGTTGAGTCTTTTAGTGTACATGGTAATGAATGGAGGGATTGTATTGGTTCGTGTACTATATCAATTCCAAATGGTTTTGGTATTCTAGTCATTATTTTCGAAATATTCTTTATCTGTTGTTGAATGAATTTTCTTGTAGTTCCCGATAATGGTTCCTTGCTGTTAGTTTGATTCAAGTTTAGATATTCTATGATGAAGTTGTGCAGGTATCCATCAAATCACGGAATATACGCATTGGATAATAGGAATTATTAAAAAGACGATTGCAGCGAAGAAAATTTTCTTTTCGACCAAGTCATCAACTAGACAGCTGTACATTCGTGTATTTATATGACATGTGTGAGAAAGTTCCAGAATTATTTCCGGTGAGAGGTCAGATTAATAAAATTACTAAGTGTAATAAACAGAAGATAGGTAGTGGTACTATTCTAGAAATATTTCAGGCCAAAGGTCAAATTAAAAATTACGGGAAGAAAAGGCAACATAGGATTATAATTACTAGAAAACTAGTCAGTTTGGATAATTACGGGTAAAGGATGTAGTACTAACGGGATGGGTAGGAGGTTCGAATATATAAAAATAAAAACAGTAACCAAATCTAATAATGCAGATAGGGATTTAAAAGGTAAATATAACAAATAAACGGGAAGGTTGGACAAGAAAGGTAATAGGACAATCATTATTGATGAGACTGACTTTTCATGATGGCCACGGTAGGGACAACGGTTGTACCTATTTCTTTTGGACACATAGAATAGGCTTGAGTTTTTGGATTGACAGTGCCTCAACTATTCCTAGATGTCTTGATTTCATTCCCTTTGGTAGGTTGGGTCGGATCTTGTATATAGTTTTGAAGGACTTTTTAAACGGGGCCGGATGTCCAGAATTTACCAGATGCTCTGTTATCGAACTGTGTACCCCTTTGATAGCCATGCTGGATGGTGTTCCCGCGCGCGTTTTACAAGCGAACTCATGGTACGACCAATGTACTCAGCTCCGCACGAGCAAGTGAACTTGTATATGCATGTTGAAGTGGCCCAATGCGACAGCTTATCTTTCACGTGTTGCGTGAGTAGTTTCTTGCAGGAGAATGTTATTCGTAGGCTAGCGGCGAAGTATGTTTTGAAGAGAGACGTCGAAAGCCGTCTACAGAGAATCTCTGCTTCGGTATCACTTTTAAATTCGAGGTTCAATATCAACATCTTTTTGGGGACGACTTGGACCCTTTCAGGTGTTTTCTTTAGTTTTAGATTCTTGTGTATAAATCTGGCTGGGAATTCATTTTCTATCAAGGTCCCTCGGAGATTTTGTAATTCTTCATCGATTGACTCTTCAGTGCAAATCTTCCGGATCCTCGAGGAAAGAGAGTATATTAGGTTTCTCTTTCTGCTTAGAGGCAGACAGCTTTGAAAGTTAATAAACTGTCCGTTTCATGTGGTCTGCATTTCTTCGTAGTTGAACGTCGAGGAAATGAAGCAGTGAGTTAGAGTCAACTTCCAGGGTGAAGTCGATGTTTGGGTGGGCGTTATTGAAAATTTGAAGTAGGTTTTTTAGATCACAAATAATGAAAGTATCATCGTAGTATCTCTTGTAGAGATGGAGGTTGTCGATAGTTTTCTAGTAATTATAATCCTATTTTGTCTTTTCTACCCGATCTTCCTGATTATTATACTTATTTTTTTTAATTATTTTATTATAGCTTGACTCCACACCGTATTTTTGATACAAGTATGAAATTTTCAGCATGTGATATCGGTAGCCCAAATTTTGCAGGCTGACCATTGATATCGGGTGTGCGTCGGCCGGGAATCGAACCCAAGACCATGTGCATGGTCGGCGGGCGTCCTAACCGCTGTGCCACCGATGTTGTAATTTTTAATTTGACCTGTGGTCTGTAATACTTCTAGAATAGTACCACTACCTATCTTCTGTTTATTACACTTATTAATCTGACCGGAAATAATTGTGGAACTTTCTCACACATGTAATATAAATACACGAATGTACAGCTGTCTAGTTGATGACTTGGTCGAAAAGAAAATTTTCTTCGCTGTATACATCAAAATAAATTTCTAACGATCATTATTATTTTTTTCTGTCTGTCTATCTCATGAAAACTATAGTCTGGAGACATTTCCTCTTCTCAAGCTATGACAATGAACAAGTTTATCTAAATTTGTTTAGCCACTAACTGTATTATTGGAAACATTTATTTCCCGATACGAATTTAAAACAAGCAATAAAGGTTAATAAAGCAGGATTTAATGAGTTCATCAAATTTCAGTAGAACTCGTCAGCTGAATACTCTACATAAACGGATATATATACTTTTGAAATTACATTGGGAGATATAGGACTGTTAAGTAAACAAACTACATTGAATTAGTCATGCAGAAAGACAGGTGCGAATGTTTTTGCAGGTCATGTTCAATTAGATAAGGGGAGAGAGAGTATGGGAGATCAAAATTAAGATAAATTGCATTACGCTTCAATTACATCGCTTAGATAAACAATTAGACATTAGAGAATTTAACGAGAATTGCAACCAGAGGGATGTCAATAGTAATAGTTATAATAATAATGGTGTTGAAGTGAGTTAAGATAATGCTACTGATAAAGGATAGTTTTAAATGAATCAAGAATAATAATAGTGAGAATAATAATAATAAGAGGTAGAATTATAAGTAAAACGTATTACCATGGTAGATTCAGAGTCACGACCGTCTCCTTTTGTACACAGAGACCTGGTTTGTAAACTCGAATTGCACAAGCCTCTGCAATTGCAAGCATCTTCTTGTTTCTTTGTCTGCTGACAATGGTGAATGACTTGACCGCGTCGATATCATGTCCGTAATCCATCAAGAGAACTTATTATGCTGCAAAACTTGTTTTCCTTAACACCACTAAGCGAGTGCTTCAACAATCTGGGAAAGACCAGTCGCCAATCTTCGACACTTCAAACTGCATATATCAAT